ACGCTTAGGGGAAAGCGTGTGTATGCATTGTGATACTCTCTAAAATGGTGAAAGACGTAACTCGGGGGAGAAGGATTGTTGAAAAAATTAAGTTATTGTTTTCTTTGTGCTCAAAAAACGAAGGTCTTACGGCTTTGGATTGACATGAGGGTGAGTAATCAATGACAGAATTTTCATTTTGGGGTGAACTAACCCTTTAAATGGTCTAAACTTGGTAACGTTTGCATAATACAAGCACGAATATCAGAAAGGCATGTGGTGTGGTGAATTTAATTTGCTTAAAAGGGTAGACCAACCATTAAAAGTCAATTTTGACAACTGAAATATCACATTTTTGTACCGACGAACACATTTCCCATCAGCCATTGGTCGAACAAACAGATTGCCCCATCCCAAAATGCAATTGAAGATATGTACAGAAATACATTCTTAAAAATAAAGGTTCTTTATTGGCATCTATGGTTGCATGAAGAACCTTTAACTTCACACTAAATGTTCTTCACACACACAAAAAAATGTTTCTTTTAAGAACTGTTCACTCAAAAGTTCAAGAAACACAAAATGGTTATTCTTCTGTGACATCAATGAAAAAACAACCTTTTGGAACCTTTATTTTTTAAGAGTTAAAGAACACAATCTGTTTGACAAGTGCATTTAACTCTGTAGGGCTTTTCTGTTCAGATCAAGACAGCACACACATAGCAGTGGAGTTTTCTGTCTCAGTGCTAGGGAACGATATCCCAGATAAGCTGGTTGGTTCAATTGGATTCTATAAGTGGAGCCATTATTGAACCAATCAATGCAGCAGTAGGAGCTGACAGAGTTTACCAGCAGTGCACATTTATAAACATACAAGGGACTGGACTAGTAAGTGTGGTCCAATGATTTTATCTACTCAGCATTTTATTTATTCACCCTTATGCCAAGCCATATGCCTTCTTTCTTCACAAATGGAGATGTTTTGCACAATGTTCACACTGCTCTTTTCCATACAATGAAAGTAGATGGGGACTGCGACTTTTCAACTCCATAAACATTCTTTGAAACTACTTCACGGAAGATAGAAAGCCATACACGCTCGGAATGACATGAAGGAGTAAATGTGGGAGATTTTTAATTTTTGGATGAACTATTCCTTCAACCACCACTCTGAGAAGTTAATGAAATATTCATAGGCAATAATGAAATAATGAAAGCGTTAGAATGACTATGTACAACAATGTTCAGTGTCTTAGATCTTGTATTTTCAGGATCTTGTCTACATCGCTCTACAGGGTTTTAAAAATTCACACGGGCTTCTCAGAAACGAAGCACCAAACTGCAACGTTCAAAGGCTTTTGAATCTGTCTTTTTTCCTCATTTTCTGTCTTGTGGGGCTCATACATTAACTCAGACATTTTGTTGTTCTTGAAATTCATTATGTCTAGACACTTGTGCTACTTTTATTGTTTGTAGACAGATAAGCTAACTCTTACGCAACTGCTCTTTGACAGGTGCTGGGGAGTCTGGGAAGAGCACAATAGTCAAACAAATGAAGTAAGTGCTCTAATTAGTACTCTAATTACGCTTCAGTTTTATGCTGAATATCATTTATTGGTTACTCATATCTCTTTATATAGAATCATCCATGAGGCAGGCTACTCGGAGGAAGAGTGCAAACAGTACAAAGCTGTTGTCTACAGCAACACTATTCAGTCTATCATCGCCATCATTCGCGCCATGGGGCGACTCAAGATCGATTTCGGAGATGCAGCACGAGCGGTGAGTCACAGGATTGGTGGCCTGGTGCGCTTCATGTTACAGCCCACTTGTGTAGATTCACAGACACTATAAGAATGTGAATGAACGGGAGAAACTGTAACGGTCCATATGGCGGCTGAAAGTTCAATGAAATGAATCATCTTTGATAGTGAATGTTTAGTTCGGAAATTGCAATTGATGAAAAATTGGATTCAAATGTGCAATGACTGAAATACACTTAAAAAATAAATAAAACAAGACAATAGCTATGTTTCCATCTAAAGATGCGAATTTAACTTATGCGCAAAACTAGAATATCGCATAAAATATTTTCGAATAAAGCACCGTTCCATCCAACGAGTCAAAGAGAACTAAATTGTCACTTCCTGATAAACTGGCACTAAATATCACTAAGAAAAGTCGAAGAAGCCACTGAATATAATAATTTTCATTTATGATAAATTACTTGCACCTCAGAGCGAGCAAACGAAACAATAAATGCTGTCATTGCTTTTGGAGGTGGATGCATTATACAGAAGTCAATTATACAGAAATACTTGGATGACAGACTTTGCAGACATTTCAGAACGACCAAAACAACATTTCAGATGCTGTGAACGAGATCGGTCCACCGGTTAGTCAAGTTATCCCGTCCCATCGTGCAAAGTCACGTGACTTTTTTATGCGCATGGTGGAATTTATTCAGTAAAAGTGTTTCCATCGTAGTTTAGTGTGCATTTTTTCTTATCGGATAAAAGGTTTATCCTACTCAATTGTGCTCATACGTTTTTTATGCGCATTTTTTGAATTTATGGGCATCTTGGCATTTCCATCCAGTGTTTTTTTAATGCAATATTCCAAAATGCGCATAAAAATAGGTGGATGGAAACATAGCTAATGATAATTGAATGCATGGAAGAATTAAAATCTGCTGTTCTCTCTTTGTGTCTCAGGATGACGCGAGGCAGTTGTTTGTGTTGGCGGGCAGTGCTGAAGAGGGTTTCATGACAGCCGAGCTGGCTGGAGTGATAAAGCGTTTGTGGAAGGATGGAGGAGTGCAGGCCTGTTTCAGTCGATCCAGAGAGTACCAGCTCAATGATTCTGCAGCATAGTGGGTATCTTTGTCTTTTCTCTACACATTTAAGTCCCCATTCTGTTTTCCTGTCTGTTGCATATGTACTCTGCTTCACCTTACACTAGAGACCTGCACTCCCGCGGGAGTACCGCGGGACCCGCGATACCCAACGCAACAGGGTGCGGCACGGGACAACTCTTGATGGGCGAGTACGGGTGCGGGCGGGAAGAGACTTGTGTGTGTGCGGGATGCGGGAGAATAAAATGATTCGCGGGACTCCCGCAAAATAGAAATGATCTAAACATAAAGTGTCTAAAACATATAAATTGTTATTTATCTGTTGCACTAAAGCAAAAAGAACAACTAATATTAACATTAAAATGATTAACGCGCAAGCTAGACATAGCCTAGTTTCCATTTATAATGTAGCCAATCACAGACTCAGCTGTTGATTTCTGGAACGCAATGGCCAATCAGAGGTGATCAAGTTAGAATCTACTCACCGCAGTGCTGAAATTGCGTGCTCACGAATCCTCTCATTTTAGACACTCTGAAAGATTCATTGTGCATATATTTAGTATATTTAGTGTTATAACAGAGCTTTATGAGATCGCGATTAACTGAGATGTCAGCTTTTTGTGATAATAAAGGAAGTGTGCTGCTCGCATTCTGCCATGCCAAACCATGCACGCAGCAGCCCATGCTTGCTTTCTGTAAAAAATAACAGTGGTTGTGAATGTTGATGCTTAGTCTAAATAACAAATATTTTATCGGTAGTAGTTCGTTATGTTTATGCTGGGATGTTGTGGAGCTTAGGAGATGTTACAGAACCATTTCATGTAAATTTCTTCAATGTACTTAAAACAATCTATATAGATTACTTTTATGCGGGCGGGAGCGGGACAAAACATGAATGTCGCGGGCGGGAGCGGGACCAGATAAGATATATTTTTGCGGGAGCGGGTGGGCGCGGGACAGAATCTTGCGGGAACGGGTGGGAGCGGGACTGAAAAATCCGTCCCGCGCAGGTCTCTACCTTACACCACATCCTAACCAAGTGTGAAGCGATAAAGTACTAAGCGATGAATCACCCCACAGGAAAAAGAAAAATCACAACCGAGATTTCTTTAATATTTCAATTGGAGAGCAAACTGAAACTACAGCATCTATGATAATGACCCTAGTAATCTGTGTCTCTTCTAGAGTTTCAGAATGTATCACACACTAACACACCAAAGCCTGCAATCAGAAGTTGGATATCTCAATACGATCTCAGCTTTTCTAAATACATTCTTTCAAAACCAAATTATGAGCTATACTATCCAAATATATCATTATATTACATTATATGCATTATTTAACTCTTACAATATGTCAACGGTTGTCTCATTTGTATCGGTTTTTACGTCTTCTAACAGATTTAAGATGGATATTCTGACACAAAGTTGGCACTTAAATGAAACATAATTGAAAAACCTTCTTGTTGGAGATTTCCTCTGTGATTTTTTTTTGTCCAAGGTGACTTTAAAGACGGGCATCATATTTTGTCAGTTGTTTGGTTTCTATAGAATGCAACAATCAGGTTCTGGAAGTAAGAATCCCATTCATTTTCTCCATAGGGGAATTTATTTATTAAATGTCAACTTATAGACCCTTTTAGGGCCGACGTCACAATTACATCACAGCGCTAGCTGGAGGCAAAACAAAGGGAAAACTGGAGGCGGCCAATTCAAACCAGCGCAGATTCGGCTACATAAGGAGCTTTAAATGTCATCTTGTTGTGATGTTGGGTGCCAGAATCGACGTAATACAGCCTCAAATTAGAAATTTGATCGCATATCTGCTGCCACTGCCAGACAAAAAACCGACGACAGCTGTGGTTAAATGCGATAAAACAAGCAGACTGGAGAGAAACGATTGTCAAAAATGCTCGTGTTTGCAGCGCACACTTCTTATCAGAAAAGGTTCAATAAAGTATTGTCTTTTGTTGTTATGGGTGCGTCTAAAGATTTCTTATGCATCTCACGACTATTTCGTGTATGAATTCATGTCTGTGTGCATGTGTGTAAAACAACAAACTGATGATTTATATATATAATCATTTGTAGTTGTATATACGTTGTTATGATTAATTGTGGCTGGAATAATAATGTAGCTGTAAAAATAGTTGCCTGCTGAAATTGAAATGTGTATATATATCTTCATGACTAGATAGACACGGTGAGTTTGTCTTTACTATTAGGGCTGCACGATATATTGTTTCAGCATCGATATCGCGATGTGCGCATCTGCGATAGTCACATTGCAGGATGTGCGATGTTTAGTATACTGATCGGTTATATTTATACTGACCGTTTTCTTTGCTCACACACAGACACCGCGTCTACACCTAGAGTCATTAAATTAAAATGTACTCATTGATTCAGTCATTAAATGTAATTTTTGAAAATAAACATTTTCTTCAAAACAATATGAAACCAAAATGAATACACAAGGCATATTTCTAAAAATTTGGAACAGGCACTATTTTTAAGATAATGCTTATTTTGTAAACGTATATAATTGTACAATTTATAGTGTTTAGTATAAGTGTTTATATAAAATCAATAACGGATTTATATTTTAGGTTTTAATTAAATTACATCTTTAACAATGGGACTGTAGCTCTTTACACAGTCTTGTACCTTTTGTGATTCACCTCAAAGCTAGTTGGTTTGGCTCATAGCCTATCATTCTTTAACAAATACTTTTTTAATATCCCAAATAGAATGAAAAACCTTCCAGAACCAAGGCAGCTGAAAAAGCGGTCAAGCAAGGCTGCACTCTATTTTAACTGCTCCACCCACATTGAAATCTCATTGGTCCAAAATTCAAATATGTAACATATCATGACTTGAAGTCCTCATTAGCTGTGTTTTTTGCTTCACATTATTTTGCTCTCTGCGGAGATGTTTCATGTTTCACCTAGTTGGGACGGAGATGAATCACCTCATAACTTTTTGTTTTTGTCCTCTACAGCCATTCTTTATTTATCTCTCTATCTGTCTACCTCACATACCATCCTCCCTTCCTATCTCTCTCAACCCGTTCACCTTTTTGGGTGCTCAACCGTTCATTCCCCCTTCTGTTTTCTAGTTCCCTCCCCTTTTGTTTTTCTTATTCACCGAACATCAGCCACTGCCAAAACAGCAAGTTCAAACAGCTTTATCAGGTACACTGAGATCTCCTGTCTTACTGTATCCAGACTCTCACTGTTTGAGCCTTAAACGAGCTTGTCAATATTTGCACCGCTGTAGCTGCCTGCTTCCTAGAACATGCCATTACCCTCGACTCGGAAAACCCGCCTGTCCGACACTAGCCACACGTTTACGACGTTGATTTCATGTGAGAAAAATACACAGAAGAAAGTGTGTCACATGCTACAGTTGAAGCATGCAAATATGTGTGGGTGCGTGTTAAAGTTTCATGTTGCATCAAACCTTTGCTAAAGACAAAGGAGTTAAAGATAGCAAGTACAGATAACAATTATGTAGTGTACTCAAAAATTCCTGTTTCTCTTAATCAAATAGTAATGCCACTGCTGTTCTCGTACAACTGTGTGTGTGTGTTCAAGTAACCATCTACTGTCTATTAGACACAGTTGACTTGCACCGTGGCTAAGCATGAATGTCCCCCCTCCCCACTGCCCCGCTGACTTGCACTCACATCACACTTTAACAGGCCTGGGCACGCTTACGTCATTATGATGCAAGTGCAAAAAAACAGGAATGGTAACTTTGCGGCTTATTATTTTGAGTGGTTTGGGGTGCTGTGACACGTGGTCCTCTTGCATGTGTAATATATGTTACTTAATTATTCTATCGCTTATGTCGTGCAGAAAGACTTTCAAGGTCTGTGGTTAGTGCTCACACTATATATGTTCTGAGTTCAACCGAACCAGTATGGTATGGAGCGATCACTATAGTCAAACAAACATGCTTCATATTGCCTAGTGTGGGTACACTGAATAGAACTTCATAAGCATCTGATCTGAAAAGCTCCATATTGTTTTGTGGGACAAATACTTATAAGTAGAACCAATTTTTTATTATTTCTTTTTCCATTCATTCATGTTCTAAACACTTGTCCTACGCAGGGTTGCAGGAAGGCTCAAGCCTATACAGAATCTCAGGCATCTATAGGCAGGTCGTTTTATTAGGAGGATCTTTTTAATATTTTTAATACAATAACAAGGCTAAATTATCAACAGATTATGTAAAATAATTATGTAAAATATGCATTATGAATATTTATTATTATTATGGTCACACTTTATTTTAAGATCCAATTCTCGCTATTAACAAACGATTAACTACAACTTTGCCTCAATAATTTCCTAATTTGCTGCTTATTAATAGTTAGTAAGGTAGTTGTTAAGTTTAGGTATTGGGTAGGATTAGGGATGTAGAATATGCTCATGCAGAATATGTGCTTTAAGTACCAATAAACTGCCAATATGTTAATAATAGGCATGCTAATAAGCAACTAGTTAATAGTAAGAGTTTGGTCCCTATACTAAAGTGTTACCACCATTATTATTAGTAGTAGTAGTATTGGAATAATTCAAATAAACATAAAATTTGATAATGAATATTGATTTTTATTATTTTAGTATTATGTCTAACTTGATGAATCAAAGGCAAAAGCATATCATGAAAGTAATATTTAATAATTGGGTAACACTTTAGTATAGCGACCAATTCTCGCTATTAACTAGTTGCTTATTAGCATGCCTATTATTAACATATTGGCTGTTTATTAATACTTATAAAGCACATATTCTGCATGACCATATTCTGCATCCCTAATCCTACCCAATACCTAAACTTAACAACTACCTTACTAACTATTAATAAGCAGCAAATGAGGAGTTTATTGAGGCAAAAGTCGTAGTTAATGGTTTGTTAATAACGAGAATTGGACCTTAAAATAAAGTGTGAAATTTGAAAAAGATTCACAGTTTCATTATCAATAAAACCATGGTATTAGCTGTACTTTCCAGTATTGAATGGCACTTTTCAGTATTGAAAATATCTATCTCTGCTGTTCTGTTCTCTGTACGTTTTTTGGGGGGGATTCCAGGATTGCCTTCTCTTTTACAAATACATTTGAATGTTGAGTTTTATAATTAATCTAAAATGAAGTGCCTTATAAGGTTTCCTTTTAGAAAGGTGTTTGCATCAGTAACATGACCGTGGGTAAGTGGGTAGCTCGCTAGGTTGTGGAACAGAGCTTCTATGTAAATTTGTGTGTGTGTGGTAGATGTCTCAGTTGTATATTTGTGAGTGCGTAATGGAGTTTGGCTTTTGTTTACGCCGTTACTAAGCATTACCAAATCGCGAGCTAAACTGTGGCCTCTGTCACACCATTTTAGTCAGGACCGTGAACATCATATGAAGTGGGCAGTTGGCAGACGTTATGGCACAATGTTTGTTTTTCAGGAAACGGCCCTGCTGACTGTTGTGCAATTGTTTGAGCGGCCTTGTGTGTGTGTGTGTGTGTGTGTGTGTGTATAAAAATTTGTTTTAGCAGGGGATCATCTCCACCCAGGGATTGCCGGTCTACCCCTGTTCCCGTCTCGTGAGAAACCCTGGCTGGACTTTTGGGCCAAGAGATTAACTTAAACCACAAACTTCATTTCATCTGAACTAACCTCTTCCTTCCTGTTATATCTCCACAGCTACCTGAATGATTTAGACAGAATATCGCAGGCCACCTACATACCCACTCAACAGGATGTGCTGAGGACCCGAGTCAAAACCACAGGCATTGTCGAGACACACTTCACTTTCAAAGACCTCCACTTCAAGTGAGCACTTCAGGTTACTTTATTCCATAACTGCCAAAAATATATTCTTGGCTAATCTTATTTCAACCCAAAGAAATTTCTTTGTAAGAAAAAAATAATTTCTTATAAAGAAATTTATAAGAAATTATATTTTGCACAAAAATCAAGCCTATTTCATTAAGACACTTTTTGTTCTCCAATTCTCAATAGCTTACAATAATGCAATAAAATCTCGTTATTATTAAAGTGAGAAAATATTACTATTAAATATATACTACACAATATTTTATATACTTACAAATATTTAAATTGAGATTTGCATTTGTAGAATGTAATTGTACAATTATACATTATGGCAGTATTTTTTGTACTGAATTTATGCTGATTGTAATAAAAAATTATTTACTAAATATTACAGTAATGGAAAATTTAGGAAAAATATGTTTAATTCTCACTGAAATTATAATACAAAAATCTTAAAGTAATAGCTCACCCAAAAATGAAAATGTTGTCATCATTTATGTCGTTCCAAATCTGTATGAGTTACTTTTTTGTGTTGAACAAAAAAAGATATTTTGAAGATGCTGATAATCAAACAGTTATTGGTCCCCATTGACTTCCATAGTATTTCTTTCTCTACTATGGAAGTCAATGGGGACCAACAACTGTTTGGTTCTTCAAAATTCTTCAAAATATCTTCTTTTGTGTTCAACATAAGAAAGAAATTCATACAGGTTTGGAACGACATGAGGGTAAGTAACTGATGACAAAAATTTTTTGGGTGAACTAGCCTATTCCTTTAATGGTTCAAAAATCGATTTATTATTTTTCTTTTATATACACACACACACATATACACACACACATATATATATATATATATATATGGGTAAACATGACCACATAATGAAGTATGCATAGTATACATAATATAAGTATTTGCATATCCACAGATTGAACTATTAGGAACTACTTCATAATATTTGTATTGAGTTTTGTTGTCAAATCTTGGTAGACTGTGCAAATACTGTGTGACTGCAATCATGTGCAAGAGTGATAGAAAAGAGAAGCAGAGAGAGACAAATAGAGAAGTGTCACTCTCGAACTGGTTTGCACTCTGATTCAGACAGGAAGAGGAAGTACATATCGTCAGTTTCTTTGCCCATTTTTAGCTATAGAACTTTCAGAGTTGAAAACTAATGTCCAACTCAATATCCGTGCATATGCTCTGTATTTGTATGGTTATTAGATCATCACAGCAGTAGCTTCGCAACATGCTAACACCAAACCCTATTAAAAGCAATGTGAGTTGAGTATACACTTTTTTTAGGGGGGCACACAGAATTGCAGTCTATGTAGCAAGTACCACATCAATAATTTCTGTGGTTTCATTTCAGCTAGTATGCCCCTTAATTTAGCAAGGCAGCTCACTAGTTTCGAGTTACAGAAACTTGATAACCATTTTAAAATGTCATGTATTTCAGGATGTTTGATGTTGGGGGTCAAAGGTCGGAGAGGAAAAAATGGATCCACTGTTTTGAAGGTGTAACTGCCATCATCTTCTGTGTGGCACTGAGCGATTATGACCTGGTGCTGGCCGAAGATGAAGAGATGGTACGAAAATACTTCCTGTTATTTAAAAAAATACCGAATTACAGTGTATATGTGAATCTGTATTGGATGAATGAGGGGTAAACTAAGCCTGACGAGAAAACCAATTCCTGCATTTATCATATAATCCATGCCAACGTCATATTGATTCAGATTGAGTCCTACTTTATTAAGCGTTCGCAAACATATATTGATTGATTTAATGGTAAATGGCAGAGGGCTAAAGCACATCTCCACCCCTATATTCCATAAATCAAGCTTTTGAGCTGCGTTGAAAGGCAACTCGATACAAAGCTCGGCATGCAGTCATTAAATGATCACAGAGTAGACCGTGTATATTATTGTGTAATATAATATGGTGTTTAAAGATGGTTCTAAGCCAAGATGCTCTATCGACACCCACTTTCTAGTTCACTAGTCCTTATTTCTTATGTTCAATCAACCAATTTCTTTTTCTGTAGAACCGAATGCACGAGAGCATGAAGCTGTTTGACAGCATCTGCAACAACAAGTGGTTCACGGACACATCTATCATTCTGTTCCTCAATAAGAAAGATCTGTTTGAGGAGAAAATCAAGAGGAGCCCACTCACCATCTGCTACCCAGAATACGCAGGTCAGACCCCGATACTGGATTTGATACTAGATTTTACACACACACACACACACACACACACACACACACAGGTTTGTTTTTTATATTGTTAGAATTCTAAACCTAAAAAGAAAAATAAAGTGCTGTTTTGTTATTTTAGTATCATTGATATATAGATTTTGTTAATATTTTGAATTAGATTTTTTGTAATTTTCTATTTAAATGTTGGTAATTTTGTTGTGTTTTGTCTTTTTTTTTTTTTCATTTGTTGTTATTTTAACGTCTATATTTTTAAATTAAGTTCTAATTGTAATCTTAGTTAAATTAGTACTTCAACTAACTAATTAACTTATTATGACTGGAAAAAAAATTCTGTGTTCCTTTATACATTACATTGTTTCTGGTTATTTTATGTCACAGGAACAAGTGACATCACTTCCTCATATTGAAAATATTTCCTGTCCATCTCACAGGGTCAAATACATATGAAGAGGCTGCCGCCTACATTCAGTGTCAGTTTGAAGATCTGAATAAGCGGAAAGATACCAAGGAGATCTACACTCACTTCACCTGCGCCACCGACACCAAGAACGTGCAATTTGTCTTTGACGCAGTGACTGATGTCATCATCAAGAACAACCTGAAGGACTGTGGACTATTCTAGAAGCTGGCCTGTATCTGGTGAGAATCAGCATCCTAAATGTCAAGTGTGCCATGATGGCATGCTGGATTTTCATTTGTTGTTATTTTAACGTCTATATTTTTAAATTAAGTTCTAATTGTAATCTTAGTTAAATTAGTACTTCAACTAACTAATTAACTTTAAACTAAATTAATTTTTTTTTAATGGTTTTGGTTAGTTTCAGTTGACAATAATAACCCTGGATAAAATGTTATATAAAATGTGGACAAAGCTCTAAATTATTATTTAACACACACACATACATGGGCCATTCTAAAGAATTGGTGCAAACTGCAGTGCCACAACCAAAAAACACATTTAAAAAGCATTTAAGTATTCAAATCAGGCCGCTGCCTACATTCAGTGTCAGTTTGAAGATCTGAATAAGCGGAAAGATACCAAGGAGATCTACACTCACTTCACCTGCGCCACCGACACCAAGAACGTGCAATTTGTCTTTGACGCAGTAACCGATGTCATCATCAAGAACAACCTGAAGGACTGTGGACTATTCTAGAAGCTGGCCTGTATCTGGTGAGAATCAGCATCCTAAATGTCAAGTGTGCCATGATGGCATGCTGGCCACACAGTGCATGTTTATATGCTAAATAATCAATAGCCCCGTTTCCACCGCAGGAACTTTCCCCAGGAGCTAGGGACTGTGGGCCGGTACTCGGTGTGTTTCCACCGCAGGAACCAGGATCTAAATAAAGTTCCGGGTAAAAATTTGCCCCTCAGAAAGTCCCTGCTCGTGAGGTAGTACCTTCTCAAAGGTCCGGAACTTTCGGGGGGTGGGACTTAGGCGCTGAACATCCTGATTGGTTGAGTTCACGCAGCATTGTATTTCAACCACCATTTATTCACATAATATTTAAAAATATTACTGTTATTGTGTCACGAAATGTAGTTTTAAAAGTATTTCAGGCGAGAATGTAGTTGTTTTAAACTCAAATCTGCGGTTTATTTATAAAGACAGCGCCTATTTGAAAATGTGCTTCGCCAATTTTGGGGACGTGAGCTCCACGCGATCAGCGGGCACTCAGTGCTCATGTTTCCCGACGAGAGCAGCCTCAACTCGGCTAGTCCTTCTGACATTTGCCACTGGCTCTGATGTTTCCTGATTGATAAACTGATAAACAAGATATAATTCGTTTTGGGTAAATATAACAGGTAATCTTTGGTCTTTATTCTGTTAATCTATTAATATGTTAAAAAGAAAATGAAAAGAGGCAACACTGTTTGATATAATATTTCGTTTCATTGTAATGTATGTATGTTCCCTGAACTACATTTCTGCGTCTGTTAATATGTTTAAATGAAACCGAAAACAGGCAGTGGTGTTTGATATCATATTTCGTCTTATTGTAAATACAGTGAGGAAAATTGCAGTAGCCAAGGCGAGCTGACTGACGTTATCAAGTACGCTTCTGTTTGCAGAATTATCGGACTTGCGTCGTCCAGTCCGTGGGAGTTCACACTCCTGAGTCGAACTCGCGAAGTCCGAACTATCGAGGATGCAAATCCGAAATTTGCGTACTTGGTATTGAGAAACGCGCACAGACCTACGTCACCAGACTCTTTGCCTAATCTTCTTGGTACTTTAGACCGCGATGGAAACGCAGACAGCAACAGTTCTGGGGGAAAAAAAGTTCCTGGGACAAATTGTTCCAGCTAATTTCGGTGGAAAAGTGGCTAATGTTCATATTGCGGATGAAGTCACATAATTGCCCTGGAGCAATCATGGAATAAACATTACAGAACAAATGTGTGTTTAAAGGTCAGGTGTGTACTGTGTAGTTGATTCATTGTTCTGGTAAAGAATTAACATCTTTTGGTGAACTGATTCTTCATGGCATGAGTTTAGGGCCAGACTACCTCCTAAGGGGGTAACAGCTTTTTAAAATATATACTTTTATCTAGCAAAGATAATTCAGATGATAAAAGGGCCTGTGAATATATCTATAATGTTAAAAAGATGTCTATTTCAAATAAATGCTGTTCTTTTGAATGTTCTATTCATCAAAGAATCCTGAGGGGAATATGTATCATGATAGCAAAAAAAAAATCTATCAGTGTTTTCAATATTGACAATAATAATTAAAAAATGTTTCTTGAGAGCCAAATCAGCATATTAGAATTTCTGTAGGATCATGTGACTGTCTGAAGACTGGAGAAATGGCTGCTGAAAATTTCAGCTTAGATAGAATTAATTACATTTCAAAATATATTAAAATAGAAAACAGTTATTTGTAGATATTTACAGTTATTTCACAGTATTACTGTTTTTAGTGGGTTTTTTTATTCTGAAAAAAAGCAGCCTTAAAATCTTACCAATGACAGAGTTTTGAATGGTAATGTATCTATAATCATAACAGTATACTTATTCATTTAATTGAGTCAAAAACAGTGACAGCAGCATTTAACTAAAGATTTTGCTATAGAAAAAGATAAATTAATATGCCTGCCATGAATAATTATCACTGGTTCATGTCTGAACAAACCAATTCACTAACATGAATCAGACTACTCAAAGCTTCTTTCTAGGAAAGCATGTTTGGTTATTTCCTCAGTTGGCTTGGCTGTAAAGTTCTGCATGCAATAAAAATTATAAAAGGTTTCAAATAATGTGTTTTGTCATCCTGAATCTGAATATTTTTGCTTTAGTTTATTGCAAAAATTGGTGTAAAAAAAAATTCCACACTTCACTTTTAAATCATGTTAAATACTGTATTGTAATGGGTGTGAACTAAAATAAAATTTGCAATAAGTAGTTTACTCTTAATGCCTTGTTTATTTGTCATATTTATATATCATATTTAAGTAACTTTTTTTCCCCCCTTTTTAGGTGAAATTAAAGCCAGTTTTGATGTGCATTTTGTTGGAGAAAGATTGCAAGACCAAGTATGGAGAAAATTGGTCTTGGACCAGTGCTGTACATTACGCCACTTTTGACAGCTTTATTTATGGTTTTTGTCTCTGGAAATGTTAAAACGTAGCATTTAAAAATGAATTGTGTCGAATGTTCATATAGTCGTTGCCGTCGCAGCCATGTTGTTTATTTTTCACCCCGAAAACAAGTTTGTTTCTTTTAAATTAGGGATTTCTTTTTATTTTGCTTTCTTGCATCAGAGGAGTTCCCCTTTACTTGTAAAATGTTACACTTTTCTTGCCTTTGCAGTTGTTGCTATGGGGAGAGAGGAGATTGTGCCTCTCAATCCAATTTGTTGGTTCTTGTGCCTTCGCATGCGTTCCTGCAGTCCTTGTCCATTTGCTTGGGTTTGCCTACTGAATATCTCTCCAACGTCAAAAAATTTCATACTGGATGTTACTAATCTGAGAGCACAAATCCTCATATGCATCGAAAGGGAGCGTGTGTGAGAGAGTGTGCGTGTATCTGTTTGCATGTATATATATATATGCCAGTGTAGTGAAAGCTAATGGTTAATACAGTGAGCGGTCCAAACCTTCTGGGTCTCCATGGCAACAAGAGTAGACCAAACAGCCACTTCAGATGGAGATGAGTTCTGTTCAGCTGTCAGGCGCTAAGACGCTCTGCACGCAGGACTTGGAATCTGTCTCTCAAGCACCTGTCATCAGACACTGGCCGCCATTTTAATGGCTTACTGCTTGGAGAATTACGCATCACCAAGAACACCATTGCGAGACAAAGAGACTGACAAGGGGTTCGGGATTTCACAAAGAAAAAAAAACAATATGATAATGTCTGCAAACAGACGTTTGAGGCAAGCGATACTGTTGAGTGATTTTGAAGAAAACTGCCACCTCTGTCTGTGTGTTCTCCATATTGGGGGAACATTTGTACACTCATTTCCCTTATTTTGCTAATAAAAGGCATTTACTTCCTGAGTTGTATTTTTGTAGTCCCTCTACTCATCCCTGTCTTCTCACTGGCTTGAGAAAGAAATTCTAAAGTAGCTGCACATGTATGATATGTGGAGAAAGCAATCCCAAAATGTATTGGCATCGACACAATATAAATACATTTCATTCTGTACCAAAATGTATTGTTAATAGTAATAGTTTAGTGTATTTTTAAATTGATTATTATACCTAATATTCGTGTTATACAATATTTTATGCAAATTAGAATAACACACTAATAGCTTAGCCCATGGGTAGGCAAGTTCGGTCCTAGAGAGCCGCAGTCCTGCAGAGTTCAGCTCCAACCCTAATCAAACACACCTGAACAAGCTAATCAATGTCTTCAGGATTACTAAGGCTATAGGCAGGTGAGTTTTTTTTTTTCAGGGTTGGAGCTGAACTCTGCAGGACTGCGGCTCTCTAGGACCGAACTTGCCTACCCCTGGCTTAGCCTCATGCTAACGTCAAACTCCACTGAAATCAATTGCAAATCAAATCTGAGTGGAATGCGCTGTGCCCTGTTTACAGGCAGAGGAATGCACACGCATGCATCATGGTACTGTCGTGAACGATAACATTACGGTTGAACCACTGATGTCACATGGACTATTTTAATGATGTCTTTACTACCTTTCTGGGCCTTGAATGTGTCGGTTGCGTTGCTGTCTGTGGAGGGTCAGAAAGCTCTTGGATTTCATCAAAAATATCCTAATTTGTGTTCTAAAGATTTAGAACACATGAGGGTGAGTAATTAATGACAGAATTTTCATTTTTGGGTGAACTATCCCTATAAAATGCGGTCACATTTACCACTGCACAGTGAATTTTTAAAAAAACATTTTTTTTAAGTGACTGGTGTGAGCAATGCTTTGTGCATTGCTACACTATTAACACTAGAAAATTGACCCTTTTTGGACACGAAATTTGCCAAAGATTTACCAAAAATTGATTGCACTTTTAGAAGGCGACTGCTAATGTACAGTAGGCAGTGAGGCAGGTCACTAGGTTTTAGAGCAGAGCTAATTCTGCTAATGGTTTGTGGAATCTCTGGGATGTCTATAATCAAAGACTAAACGGTTCAGTCCTATTGCTTATGAACGGGAGAAACTGCAACATGCAATATGGCGAAATATGTCCCGCCTTCTAAATGAAAGAGCCAATCGCTGATTGGTAAAGTCATTGTGTCACTGCAGCGGCCGTTAGAAGCTCCGGTTCCCATAGAAATCAGAGACTCGTGCTTATGACTGCACATGCGTATTGGCTGGTCAAGAGTGAAAAATACCTTTTTAATGCTATTTGAGCATAAGGAATAACATTTATGGGGAAGATCATTTCAGATTTTGTTGCTGATTTGAAATATGTAATTTAATATTTGAGATTTCAGGATTCCCCGTTGCAAATATGGCCACTGAGTGAACAGAATTTCCTTGAAAGGGACTTTGATATAATGGCCTTC